CAAGGCCAGCCTGGTCTACGTAGTGAGTTCCAGGGCAGCTGGGGCTACAGAGAGACCCTGTCTCAAAAAGACCAAAAAAAAAAAATAGTATAACAATAGTCATATCATTAATGAGTGGTGCCTTTTGATGAGATTAAAGAAGGCGACTTATCATACTTTACACTCCTTGGTCTGTCTACATCTCTGTGTTCTCTATCAGCTACAGACACCTGAATCAGAAAGGTGTTTTGTTTTTTATTCTGTTGGTTGGAAGATTCTGGTATAAAGGTTTATTACTCCTTTAGCTCAAGTAGGCTTCTTTGGAGATATGTTGACTCTGGGGTTCTGTAGTCTGAGTAGGGATCCTGAGCAGTTTTCTTTTTTTTTTTTTTGTCTTTTTGAGACAGGGTATCCTTGTAGCCCCAGCTTTCTTGGAACTCACTATATAGACCAGGCTGGCCTTGAACTCCCAAAGATCCATCTGCCTCTGCCTCCCAAGTGCTGGGATTAAAGGCGTGCGCCACCACACCCTGCCCTGAGCAGTTTTCTGAAGCACCTGCTAGATCCTACTAGCCTTTGGCCTTTTCCTGCTCTTTTTGGGGTGGTTTTTTAATGAAGACTCTAGTGTTCCTTTTAAATTTTAATTATTATTATAATCTTTTTTTTTGAGACAGGGTCTCCTTGTAGCCCCAGCTGGCCTGTAATTCGCTATGTAGACCAGGCTGGCCTCACTCTCACAGATCCACCTGCCTCTGTCTCCTGAGTTCTGGGATTAAAAGGCATGCACCACCATACCTGGCTGTTCTTTTTTTTTAAAAATAAATTATCTATTTTTTCATTTTTATTCCATAGGTATTAACATTTTGCCTGCATATATGAAAATGCACCCATGTCGTGCAGTGCCTGTAGAGGCCAGAAAAGGGTGTTGGATCCCCTGGAACTGGAGTGTAGACAGTTGTTAGCTGCTATGTGGATGCTGGGAACTGAATCTAGGTCTTCTGTAAGAATAGCCAGTGCTCTTAACCACTGAGTCATCTTTCCAACCCTACAGTATTCTTTTAAAAAATATTTAGAAGCTGGATCTTGCACACTTTAATCCCAGCACTTGGGTGGCAGATGCAGGTGAATTTCTGTGAGTTCAAGGCCAGCCTGGTCTACTAGTGAGTTCTAGGCCAGCTGGGACTACAGGGAGACCCTGTCTCAAAAACATCAAAAAAGAAAAAAATTTAGAAATTACATTTATGTACATGTATGTATATCTGGGGGGGGATGTAAAGGTCAGAGGACAACTTGTGGGTGTCAGGTCTTTCCTATCATGTGGATCCTGGGGATGGAATTCTGGTCACCAGAGTTGGTGGCAAGTACCTTTACTTGCTGAGCAGCTTGCAGGACCCTGCAATTTTCTTTAAATTGTTATTGGCTGTTTTATGGATATATGAAGTTTGAACAATAAACTCTTTTAAAATAATTAAAACTTAAGCTGGGCGTGGTGGCACACACCTTTAATCCCATCACTGGGGGCGGGGCAGAGGTCGGTGGAGCTCTGTGAATTTGAGGCCAGCCTGGGCTACATAGCAAGTTCCTGAATAGCTGGGGCTACGGGGAGACCCTGTCTCGAAAAGACCAAAAAAAAAAAATCACAACTTCACTGAAGGACATTTGGGGACACAAATTAGACTCTCTAGGCTGTAATGTTATATATCTATCTATCATGTAA